GTCATTCTTTTTTTCATTGCTTTCCCTACTTCGCATTTCTTTTCTTGTCTTTTTCCTCTCTACTTATCAGAGGAAAATAATTGGAAAAATCAGTATTTATGCTAATAATAATGCACTGAGGCGAATTGAATGAAGCTTTTCGCTTCAGTATTTTTATATTTCCCTTTACGGAAAATTTGGTCGAAAAAAGTTTAAATTACTTCTATTTTTAGTCTTCAATTTAGTTTTCCCATCGATTGTTTTTTCATTTTTCTGCCTTCTTTAATCTACTCGTGTTTCTTATTTTCCCGGGCGGTAGAGTTTATTTTCGGGATTGTAGATATTTCCAAGGGGAGTTGGAAAGTGGGAAAACAGTTGTCGCCTGCATATATCTCCGTGACGCAATAGTGGCGAATAGCAGTAGTAGTAGAGCCTTAGAAAGCAGGGGTTGTATTCAGTCACAAAGCGGTGGTTAGAATAGAAAAATTAGATTTTTTGTTGAAAAAAATTTTGCCTGGTGTGATTACACTTTTTGATGCTGTGATCTGCTATGAAGCTGAAAGCACCGCGGACAATTGAGGAAAATATAGACTTAAATCAAACAACATTTTTTCAATAAAGTCTCGTTTTTATTTGAAATATATAATCCGAAGAGAAAACAGCTTCGCTCACAATTTGGTTCAAAAATTCAACCTCATTTACGGTACTGCCGATATGAATTGAAATTTTCGTCACGCTATTATCCTCTTATATTATTCGAGCGCATCCTACTTATTCACCAGTTGATATTCTTTCAATCACTTTTATCTTTGTCACATTTCATTCTTCCTTATCAGACCTCTAAACATAGCAAGGTAGCGTTTCTCTCTTTCATAAATCTTAAAAGAGGACATTTATCAGTGGTGCCCTTATTGGAGTATATATTTTTATACTTTTTTCCTCTTACGGTACTTCCTATAGTATAGGCTGTATGACGCAATACGCTGCAGGCAGTATTTGAATGGATTTGGAACAGTCTTTGACAACGTTTTCCTGAATTTTTCCCTCGCCAATTCACCAATTTGGTTTGTTTGGACTAGCTTGATGAGACATTTGTTTGTCTGATGAGAGAATTCCCCCTCACGCCAGGAGGTTCTTACCTTGCTAGGCTTCCGTTGTTATCCTCTCAAATAGAAACGGGGGCAATTAATTTTTTTTCTTGCTTTTGACTTGTGTTTTTAATCACAATTTGTCAATTTCAAGTCTATAATCAATTTATTTCCGATTTGTCTTCAGTAATATTGAAAATTTATTTATAGTCTTATATTTATTTCTTTCAAATTTACTTCAAATTTTGGTTGTTTCTCTGCTTTTCATTTCTGAGACACTCGAAAGATTTATGGTAGGCTGTTCAGAGCAAAATGGAATCGAAGTTAGTCGATCGTTTTAAAGGGAGCGAAGTGTAGAAAAGAGTCTCAATCATTTTTTATTAGTCCCCAGCGCAGCCCCCACCAATCAACCGTGGGCCTTTTTTCCGTGGGGAAGAGAAATGTCATCCATTTCGCCACAGCCGGTTTCATTTTGAGGAGGCGGATAACACTGGGACCCCTTCAACCATGACTGAAGCGGGGTTCGAACCCAAGACCCTTGTGTAAAAGGCCGCGCGTCTTAACCACTCAATCATTAGACGATTGAGTGGATTTTTCAAATCTTTTTAGACAGTTTTGTCTTTTTTCGCAAATTGTTTTAAAGGTGGGACTTGTGTTTTCATTATCATTTTGAAAGGAATTTGGTAGGCTTCTTCTTTTTATAATGCACGCTTAAGATTACTGATTAAATCTTGTGCCATAAATGGACTCGGTGCGGAGATTTTAATTATTTTCCTTGTGAAATGTTCGGGCGACTTGATGTTCTCCTTTTTCCTCAAAAATGCAGCTACGTTGGCATTGCAAGGTGTTGTATTGTAGCTGGTTTTTCATTTGAACTTAGTTAGGTACGCCATTTTGCTCTGATGAAAAGCGACTCCATTAATAATTAATTCTAGCGAATTCAGCGTTGAGTTTTAAAGAGCGGCTGACAGTTTCAAAGTAAACATACAACTGCGCTCACTTTTCTCAATTTATTTTTGCTACCTGAAGAAAATTCATTTTAAGACTACGATTAAAAGCAACTACATATTGTTGACATTTGAAAAAATTAGCGATTGATCTTCAATCTCTTCGTTATTTGTTTCTTTATTGTCAATTGTTTCCTGTTTGTATTGAAATATTTCATATTTTCGTTCCATACTTCGAGTGAAAAATTTCGACTTCAACCCTCGCAGAAACGGCTAAAATGGTCGCAATGTCGAGCATGATTCAATCGAGTTACGTTTCGACTGACGAAAATTGCGACGCAAGTGATTTAAATACTTCTACGAACCAGAAAATTGATCTGATTCCCGACATAACAATTGCGTTGGAATCGCTCGAAGCAACCGACTGGACTCAATTTGCAATTTTCAAACCAATTGAAGATTGCGACAGTGCAGACATAGCGTGCGAAAACAACCGTGCACTGTTAAGTTCACCCGTGCACAGTAATTATTCCTCCTCGGATGCGCATTCGGTTGTTTCGGAGGGCGAAGGTGGTGATCTCGCTCATTCGCCTCCTAGTTCACTTGTCATCAGTGAGTCGGAAACTGAAGATATTGAAGGTATTCATAATCTAATCGGTATACATAATTTGTTCCTTTGCAAGTAGCCAGTCTTCTCAATGTCGGCGTAATTTTCGAGCTTTCGGTCTTTCTGGCATGTATACCTCACACATGCAGTATATGTTTAACGCCTCTAAAGTTTGCAACAAATGCAGATTCGCTTCTTTTAGATCCATTTGGTTTCAAGTTTTCAAGTTTGCTTTTGAAGCATCCTGGATTGTAAAGCAAATATCATTTTGTAAAAAATGTTGCGCAAATTGAGTAGTGTTGGAATAAAAAGTCAGCTACAGATTAAATTTAACTGTTTTAATCGGAAGAAACACGGAAAAACACAAAGTTTTATGGCTTGTGAATAATGGCTAAAAGAGTAATTCAAAAGTGATGAGTTTGTCGAAGATTAACAGTTAAAATGGTCTTTCGAGCACCAAATAGAGCACATTTGCGCCAGTTTGTTCATAATTAATGATCACCTTTATCTCCCAAAAGTTGTGTTGATGTAATCAATTCGATGCTTAAATTTACCATTCAATTTATTCAGTTTTAAAGAATGTGTTGCTCGCTTCATAATTTTGGCAATTTATTTTCCCTCAGTTGAATTTTCTTAACCAACTTTTGTCAACTTCAGAGAGTTATATTTTTAGGTACCATCAACTTATGCACGTAGCGAAATGTTGTAAGCCAAGCTTATAAAAATTTTCAGCTACAAAATTGTTTGCAGAAAAATCATATTCTTTTCAAAGATATCGTGTCTTATGTTTTGTTAAATTTTACGGTTTTTTTCTGACTATGTTAACATTTTCCAGTAACTTTCAAAGTCCGTTTTTTGTAATCTTGGAATAGTGCAATAATTGAGTTAAACAAATTTCTCTCTTTTTTTTGATATCCGATTTCTGATGTTGTCTTCTTGTTTTCCTCTCAGTCACAAGATAACTATGAATGGAACTTTGATCTAATTTTTACCTTTACCATAATTGAATCATTCGAAAAAGCGATTTTTAATTAAGTAGCTTCTGTTTCGTGTTCCATCCGCTAGCTTGATTTGCTACTTTTGCATCATCGTTAGTAATATGAAGCTCTGCTTCTACTCGATGTGTAAAAGTTTAATATCTTTTTCGATGCTATTTTGTGTTAATTGTTCGTCGTCTTCCGTCTTTTTTTCTGACTGGCTTCAGATTTAATTAGAATTCAGTCTTCGAAGCGCCTTCTAATCCAAATGAAGTTCCCTGTCAAGCGCTACTATTTCTTTTCGTCGATATTAAAAATGTGCAATTCCTTTCATGGCGGAAAAAAAAGCTTATAATTGAAAATTCATTCGCAATAAATTTTCAATCAATTTTTATGGCGGCTAAATAGATATGAAAACCAAATTCAGTCTGTAGATTAAAACCAAATTCAGTCAAAAATTCATTGAAAAACTTTGGAACTGAGTTCTAATTCTAATTTTGAACATTCGTTTAGTTGAGTTTCTTTTTTGAAACTGAATTAAGTTCATTTATTCAGCTTCAAAGTAGAAACTGAATTTCAAAGAGTTCTTTTTACACTAGAAAAGCTTGTGTGATAGTATGAACTCTCTTTTTTCCAACCTAAGTCGCAAATATTAAGGTTCATTTTGAATGTGTTCATTTTGATCAGTAACCAGCTATTAAGTACAGCCAATGATAAGGATATTAACGCAGACTATTATATTATAAATAGCACTTTAGTTTCAAGGTATCATGTATCTGTAGCGTAGAGGTAGGGAAGGAGACGCACAACAAAACAAAAGGGTTCGAACCTGGGGTGGGATGTTTTAATGAACGTTTTTGTACAAGAGTTAAAATGCGTCCGCTCTATAAATTGAGGCATCTTAGTTGGTAAGTTTCTTTTTTTTTCACATTGACTGGTACTGCTAATGTGTCATAATTGGCTTGCATCACTAAGCAATTACGTAGACTCATAATTGGCTTGCGTCACTTAAGAAATTTCGTAGACTCAAAGTTTTACTCATTCAGTTTTTCCCGGTAGTGTTATCGGTCTTGTTTTTGCTTGTGTATGCGAAGTGCAACTTTGCCTCTGTGTTACAAACAAAAAACGCGCTAGCTAATTTGGAATTTTCGAATGATGTGATTAATTAACTGTAGTTTAATTTCACAAAAATATATTCAATTCTATGAATTATTCAGTTCAAAGAATACGGAGCACGATTGAATGCTTATCAATTAATTACTAGCCTAATAAGTAGATTTTTTACTTAGCTCTGTTTATCTGCAACTTTACTGCTCATGTGCCTAATGCGTAGTTTATAGATTGTTTGGCTTCCTCTGAAATGTCAAATTTAAAAAGACTAGTTTTATCTTATCTGTTTCAGGAGTGGATACGCGTATTAAGTTCAGCATTCTACCTCAACCAGGAAAACGCGCATTCAGACAGGTAAGAACAATTTTGCAGATATGAAAACGAAGTCGCCTGTTTTTATTGTAACACTTTTCAGATAATAACTCCAACCCCCCCTCCCCCCATCCTCCAATATCTAGTATCAAGTTGCCCTAAAATAGACCTAGACCGCTAGCTGGAACTGAAGTTTATTTCATCATTGTTTTAATGCAGTAAAATTGTGTTGTGTTTTGTTTCAGTGGCACGATGCCCTGCGAGCAATGTGCAGACTCCCTTCTGGAATACCTCGGCAGCTGCGCAAGAAGGTACCGCTCATGTTTTCTTAACAATTTGGGGAAACCCATGCTTACTGGGTAAAAGTAATACCATATACTAGGTGCGGATTTAAGATTTTCTTGAGATGAGAGGTAAAATTTTTGACAACTTATCGAAATTTTTGTCGACTATTTTATTTGTTGACCAAAGTGATTTAGTGAGTTCTCTTGAAACCTTATAAAGAAATTGTCTGGGCCGCAGGCAAAGTTTTGAAGCCGACAAAAAATGAACGTTTTAGAGAAAATTTTGACGTTTTCACCAAAAACAGCGTTTTTTCGGCGCGCTATCCCTCGCAAATTTAGCGTATACTGCTGGTGCATATTACTGCTGTGTCAGGCGTATTCTGCGGTGTCAGATTCCGGTAAAAATTGAAGTACATGGCTTGAAAATTAAGGGAATATGAGTTACCTGGTATGTTCAAAACCTTGTATGATTATAAGTATATGGCTTGAAAGTTAAATGGCTTACATTTCATTAACCAATGTATATTTCCTAGCATCTGGAAATATGTTTTTATTATGATTTTCAAAGTTGTCAAAAAAGTTTCACAAAATTTGAATTTCGACCCTGTTGTTGGGTGCTGTCAGGGTACTCTCAGGCGTTGCAAATCTGGCGTCAATTATGACTGCTCGAATCGTTTTAGTTTCTGAGATGACGTTTCTAATGATTTTTCAGAAACCTTATCACAAAATGTTGAAGAAAAATTTGAAATTCCAAACGCTGCAGTGAGGTGCTCTCAAGGTACTCTCAGAGGTGGCAAATCGTGCCTCCAAATTTGATTGCTCAGGATCTTTTAGGTTCGAGATATGACGGTTTTCAAAGTTTTTCATAAACATGAATAAAAGTAAAATTACAACTTTTTAAACTGCATATAGTGGGTTGATCTCAAGATACTCTCAGAGGTTGCATCAGTTCTTGCCTCGAAGTTTGACTGTTAAATCATCTTAGTGTCCAAGCTGTTTCTTTTTTATATGGTTTTTCATATCTCAACTTTATGGTGGGGCGCTGTCAAGTTTTTCTCAGGATGTTTTTATTAGGACTCCAAAAGTAGCTGCTCAAAGCCTTTTACTCCCAGATATGACATTGTATTGATTTTTCAATAGTTTTCAAAAAGTTTACAAAAAGCTAGTCTTTAAAAATTGGATTTGTCGACTTTTTGGTGGGGGATTTTAATTATTTCGTTGTCATCCAGTCCAGATCATTTTCTCAATAATAATTGGATCAGAGTTTGGCGTAGTTCGTGTCTTTATTGTTTAAATCAACTTTTGTCTCAACTTCTACGAATTTTATGACAGAATTGTTTTTGCAGTCTTGTGTGAATAAATAACCCAGCAGAACAGGGATTTTAAATACCAGCGTGAAATCATTTCACTTCATCCTGATTGACAACTAACATTTTTTCACTTGAGCACTTTTTGAGAACAAAAAGATCAAACTATGTGACATCTTCGAAGATAAAAAATGTATGCATGAAACCTCAAACCAAGCTGACTCTTTTGATCTACTTCGTACCAAATTTTTAATCTCGATTTTCATTTTCAATTTGACCCTGAATTTTGTTTGACTGACGCTGACTGATTGGCTTCAGAAGACGATCTGCTGTGCTATCTTTACTTTTATCTTATTAAATGCTGACATCACACGATAATGAGCTACAAAATAACTATTAATCTTATTGTATTATTTGCTGAAATATTTACCAAGGTTGCAGTCATTTGACTTGAACAAGATTGAACATTTACTGCTCGAGGTCCAATTCGGTGGGTTCATTTGATAGACAATTCTTTTCAAACCAGAAGTATTCCTTTACTGTGCTAAAAAGTTCACTCCGGCTCTGCTTCGACTCGATGTGTAAAAGTTTAATATCTTTTTCGATGCTATTTTATGTTAATTGTTCGTCGTCTTCCGTCTTTTTTTCTGACTGGCTTCAGATTTAATTAGAATTCAGTCTTCGAAGCGCCTTCTAATCCAAATGAAGTTCCCTGTCAAGCGCTACTATTTCTTTTCGTCGATATTAAAAATGTGCAATTCCTTTCATGGCGGAAAAAAAAGCTTATAATTGAAAATTCATTCGCAATAAATTTTCAATCAATTTTTATGGCGGCTAAATAGATATGAAAACCAAATTCAGTCTGTAGATTAAAACCAAATTCAGTCAAAAATTCATTGAAAAACTTTGGAACTGAGTTCTAATTCTAATTTTGAACATTCGTTTAGTTGAGTTTCTTTTTTGAAACTGAATTAAGTTCATTTATTCAGCTTCAAAGTAGAAACTGAATTTCAAAGAGTTCTTTTTACACTAGAAAAGCTTGTGTGATAGTATGAACTCTCTTTTTTCCAACCTAAGTCGCAAATATTAAGGTTCATTTTGAATGTGTTCATTTTGATCAGTAACCAGCTATTAAGTACAGCCAATGATAAGGATATTAACGCAGACTATTATATTATAAATAGCACTTTAGTTTCAAGGTATCATGTATCTGTAGCGTAGAGGTAGGGAAGGAGACGCACAACAAAACAAAAGGGTTCGAACCTGGGGTGGGATGTTTTAATGAACGTTTTTGTACAAGAGTTAAAATGCGTCCGCTCTATAAATTGAGGCATCTTAGTTGGTAAGTTTCTTTTTTTTTCACATTGACTGGTACTGCTAATGTGTCATAATTGGCTTGCATCACTAAGCAATTACGTAGACTCATAATTGGCTTGCGTCACTTAAGAAATTTCGTAGACTCAAAGTTTTACTCATTCAGTTTTTCCCGGTAGTGTTATCGGTCTTGTTTTTGCTTGTGTATGCGAAGTGCAACTTTGCCTCTGTGTTACAAACAAAAAACGCGCTAGCTAATTTGGAATTTTCGAATGATGTGATTAATTAACTGTAGTTTAATTTCACAAAAATATATTCAATTCTATGAATTATTCAGTTCAAAGAATACGGAGCACGATTGAATGCTTATCAATTAATTACTAGCCTAATAAGTAGATTTTTTACTTAGCTCTGTTTATCTGCAACTTTACTGCTCATGTGCCTAATGCGTAGTTTATAGATTGTTTGGCTTCCTCTGAAATGTCAAATTTAAAAAGACTAGTTTTATCTTATCTGTTTCAGGAGTGGATACGCGTATTAAGTTCAGCATTCTACCTCAACCAGGAAAACGCGCATTCAGACAGGTAAGAACAATTTTGCAGATATGAAAACGAAGTCGCCTGTTTTTATTGTAACACTTTTCAGATAATAACTCCAACCCCCCCTCCCCCCATCCTCCAATATCTAGTATCAAGTTGCCCTAAAATAGACCTAGACCGCTAGCTGGAACTGAAGTTTATTTCATCATTGTTTTAATGCAGTAAAATTGTGTTGTGTTTTGTTTCAGTGGCACGATGCCCTGCGAGCAATGTGCAGACTCCCTTCTGGAATACCTCGGCAGCTGCGCAAGAAGGTACCGCTCATGTTTTCTTAACAATTTGGGGAAACCCATGCTTACTGGGTAAAAGTAATACCATATACTAGGTGCGGATTTAAGATTTTCTTGAGATGAGAGGTAAAATTTTTGACAACTTATCGAAATTTTTGTCGACTATTTTATTTGTTGACCAAAGTGATTTAGTGAGTTCTCTTGAAACCTTATAAAGAAATTGTCTGGGCCGCAGGCAAAGTTTTGAAGCCGACAAAAAATGAACGTTTTAGAGAAAATTTTGACGTTTTCACCAAAAACAGCGTTTTTTCGGCGCGCTATCCCTCGCAAATTTAGCGTATACTGCTGGTGCATATTACTGCTGTGTCAGGCGTATTCTGCGGTGTCAGATTCCGGTAAAAATTGAAGTACATGGCTTGAAAATTAAGGGAATATGAGTTACCTGGTATGTTCAAAACCTTGTATGATTATAAGTATATGGCTTGAAAGTTAAATGGCTTACATTTCATTAACCAATGTATATTTCCTAGCATCTGGAAATATGTTTTTATTATGATTTTCAAAGTTGTCAAAAAAGTTTCACAAAATTTGAATTTCGACCCTGTTGTTGGGTGCTGTCAGGGTACTCTCAGGCGTTGCAAATCTGGCGTCAATTATGACTGCTCGAATCGTTTTAGTTTCTGAGATGACGTTTCTAATGATTTTTCAGAAACCTTATCACAAAATGTTGAAGAAAAATTTGAAATTCCAAACGCTGCAGTGAGGTGCTCTCAAGGTACTCTCAGAGGTGGCAAATCGTGCCTCCAAATTTGATTGCTCAGGATCTTTTAGGTTCGAGATATGACGGTTTTCAAAGTTTTTCATAAACATGAATAAAAGTAAAATTACAACTTTTTAAACTGCATATAGTGGGTTGATCTCAAGATACTCTCAGAGGTTGCATCAGTTCTTGCCTCGAAGTTTGACTGTTAAATCATCTTAGTGTCCAAGCTGTTTCTTTTTTATATGGTTTTTCATATCTCAACTTTATGGTGGGGCGCTGTCAAGTTTTTCTCAGGATGTTTTTATTAGGACTCCAAAAGTAGCTGCTCAAAGCCTTTTACTCCCAGATATGACATTGTATTGATTTTTCAATAGTTTTCAAAAAGTTTACAAAAAGCTAGTCTTTAAAAATTGGATTTGTCGACTTTTTGGTGGGGCGATGTCCGGTGACTACCAGCAGTTGCAGATGCGGCCTCCACCATAAAATTATTGCTCAAGTTTTTTAAGTTTTCGAAATTGACGTTTTTCAGTGATATTTCAAAAAGTTTAATTCAACTAAGAAATAAACTAAAAAAAACAGACAATGTTTACACTTGCGATCAGCTTTAATGTGTTATTAAGAACCTTTCTTTTTTCTAATCTAACTCGCAAATAAAATTGTTCATTAAAAGTGCTCACTTATTTGGAAGTTTCACGGTAGGATTGGAAATTGAATAGCATCTGATCTGTGCTCTAAGTGTGGCTAGTCTTTGTTGCCTATTAAGCTTCCGTAGCTGATTGGTTAGTGTGTGAGACTCTTAATCTCTTAGTTTCCAAATAAGGTCGCAGGTTCGAATCTTAGACGTAGCCAATTTTTTTTTCTAATTGGAGGCTTTTTTCTAGTTTTACTTATTGCGCTTTATAGAGCTGCTTTTTGTCGTGTTCTCGCAAGTTTTTGTGAAACGAAGCTTCTCCTTTTGGTTTCAAATTTATTTCGTTGGATTAAACAAATTATGTCAGCAAATGATATACGTGCGGGCTTTTGAAAATCAAGTCAAACAAGAGTCTCGTTGACATATTCGTGATTTATCAAATCAAATAGTTTCAAAAGTGTTTTGTATATGTACAGTGAAGTTGTATGCTGTCGGTCATTTAAGGGGTTTGTTTTTGAATTGAAAATACGAAGGTCTCAAAGCCAGTAGTTCTGAAAGCCAGTAGTTGTGAACCATTTTAGTTTAGAAAGAATCTTAAAGTTGAAGTTATTTGTATTGTTTAGTTCTGGAAAAAAAAAAGCGTTGTTGGATGCGCCCGTCTATTTTACGCTTGCATTCCTTTCGTTTTTTTTGTATAATTTTTACATAAGTAGTTTTTCACGTTTATTAAACTGTTTGAAGAATCGGAGGTGCGTTACACGCTAGTTTTATGTAAAGAGCTTGAAATGAATTAAATGAATTCAACTTGAAGCTCAATTTATGATGAGTTGTCTGGTTTGTTCAGGTGTGGCTGTGTCTGGCAGACAACTACTTGCGCCATCTGCGCATCGACTGGGACAAGACAGTGCGCTACACTTTCAACGACAGATCAAACCCAGACGACGAAAAACTCGGCATCCAAATCGTCAAAGTAAGAACAAGTCTTGACCGCCGTCGCGTTAGGGGATCCTTGTTTAACAATCCACCATCCATGTTACAAGCGGGACCATGAGTTACAAGGATTCATATGAGTATATGCTGAATCATTGTTTTAGTCCATTTAACGGTTGCATTTGTTTTACTTAGTGCCATGCAGTGGGGGAGTGGGAGGGGATTATTGCTAACACGATTACGTTGAAGTATAATTATGTTGAAAAAATTGCAAATTTTTTTAACCTTCAATTTTTGGCTAGTAAATGATTTGACATTATTTTGGCTAATGTTAAGTGTTTTCTGTAGGATCTGCATAGAACTGGTTACAGTGGCTTCAGCAGTGGCGAAGGAGCGGAAGCAGGCAGAGCATTGCTCAAACGAGTGCTGCTGGCCTACGCCCGCTGGAACAAACAAGTAGGCTACTGTCAGGGCTTCAATGTCCTAGCCGCCACTCTGCTGCAGGTATGCGAGGGCAACGAAGGCGACGCTCTGAAGCTGATGATCTACTTGATAGACCGAGTGTTGCCACAGAACTATTTCTCACACAACCTGCGTGCACTATCAGTCGATATGGCAGTCTTCCGTGAACTACTGCGTGAACAGCAGCCGGTCTGTTTCAATTTTATTAACTTATCTTTTCAGAGACTTCTTTTCTTTTCTTTTGTTAATTCTTTTCTTGTTTTTTTTCTTCTAATACATAGAATAGGAATATGAAGTTGAGTCGTATATAAAAAATAGAGGCAAATGTGGAAAAGTAAACAATTAATGAAATGTTAAATTTAATCATAGCTAAGCAGCAATGGCGATAAGCAGCAAGTAGCACAGAATGTTTCGACCATATTCATTTAAAAAAGTTTTTCTTTTTTTTCACATTCAAGTCGTTATGTGTACGCGGTGGTATAAGAAAACTAAACTAACTGTAAAAAGTTAGTGAATTAGGCAAAATCGACATCATTGTTCCAAAAAAAAGATTAGCAAACAAACAATGAAAAACAAATTTCAAAGTATTTTAGGTCAATTTTTTGCCTATGTAGCGCTTAGTTTTAGCCCAAGAAGCGCTAAATAGTTTTCGATCAAGTAAATTAAATTTTTCTTCGCTTAAAAGTTTCAGATAACTGACTTTACCCGATCACTGTTCTCTCTCGAAATTGGACTGAAACCGGTTTGGAAATTTTATGAAAACTTTTTAAGATTGTTCGAATCACGGCTGAAAGGGCGTTAATATGATATATCACTAGACTTATTCCGATGATTATTTGTGGTACCTGCTTTTGCGTGGAAAATAAAAAAAGAAAACTAAAACACCCGAATCTGAAATTCCTCCCCATTTTCAATGATCGGAACAATAACAATTTAGGTGTTGTCGGCGCATTTCGACAAGCTCCAGTCTCTGGCCAACAGTGTCCCCTTCTCACCCAACCAGACATGGCAGAGTCCCTCGGCAGCCACTTATGAACCCCCTTTGACTAATGTGTTCACGATGCAGTGGTTCCTGACTCTGTTCGCCACCTGTCTGCCCAAGGCCACTGTGCTGAGAGTATGGGATGCGATTTTCCTCGAGGGTTCCGAGATGCTTCTCAGAGTGGCTTTAACACTGTGGGACAAAATATCTTAGTAAGTCAATTGTTTTTCTCCCTTTTGAGCATGGCCTTTATTTATCGTATGACTCGAAGAAGAGTTAATTTCTCCAAATTACTATCATAATTACAGTTTAATCAATCACCAATGATTAAACTGCACACCAATTGTAAGAGGCTGGCTATCCCTCGGCAAATGAGATTTAATTGAGATTATGTGCAAAACAATTGACGATGACAATTTTTATAGCGTTTTTCCAATCAAAAAACACAAATCCAAACCGTGTCAGGTCGTTTTGATGGAAAACGTTCAATCAGACCGTCGGAGGGATTTTAATTATTTCGTTGTCATCCAGTCCAGATCATTTTCTCAATAATAATTGGATCAGAGTTTGGCGTAGTTCGTGTCTTTATTGTTTAAATCAACTTTTGTCTCAACTTCTACGAATTTTATGACAGAATTGTTTTTGCAGTCTTGTGTGAATAAATAACCCAGCAGAACAGGGATTTTAAATACCAGCGTGAAATCATTTCACTTCATCCTGATTGACAACTAACATTTTTTCACTTGAGCACTTTTTGAGAACAAAAAGATCAAACTATGTGACATCTTCGAAGATAAAAAATGTATGCATGAAACCTCAAACCAAGCTGACTCTTTTGATCTACTTCGTACCAAATTTTTAATCTCGATTTTCATTTTCAATTTGACCCTGAATTTTGTTTGACTGACGCTGACTGATTGGCTTCAGAAGACGATCTGCTGTGCTATCTTTACTTTTATCTTATTAAATGCTGACATCACACGATAATGAGCTACAAAATAACTATTAATCTTATTGTATTATTTGCTGAAATATTTACCAAGGTTGCAGTCATTTGACTTGAACAAGATTGAACATTTACTGCTCGAGGTCCAATTCGGTGGGTTCATTTGATAGACAATTCTTTTCAAACCAGAAGTATTCCTTTACTGTGCTAAAAAGTTCACTCCGGTTCAAATAAAGGTCTGTTGAGCTGGTCCTCTGCAAGCATCAAGTTCAGAGTATGTAACATAGGGGTGGATCTAGGTTTTTCTCGAGGGTGGGGGCGGTTTTTAAGGTGTCGACTTTTTTTTAGGTCGACCAAATGATTTCCTATCGCTCCCAAATCACTGAAAAGACCGTTATGGCCAAATTTTTTGCCACCAGACAAATTGTTGAAAAAAGCCCGATAAGGCGTTTTCAGGCATTTTTTGGAAATTTTTGATTGAAAATAGTGATTTTTCGGCGCGCGCTCCCACCTCAAATTTAGTATTATTGGCGCTAAAGGCGCCTTTAGATAAATTTTAGGGTCAGCCAGCCAAAAATGTAAGTCTCAGAATATTAACAAAGGGGTAACTTTTTGGATAGTCAGGGGGTCGAAACCCTGAGGGTTAGGCTTCCGCCCCCTAAGTTCGCTGCTGATGTAACCTATAATTATGATAGCGGAGAGGTAATGAACGCTTTTCTCGTAGCTTCTTTTCGAATTAATTTAGTACAAAATGTAGGGTTGAAAAATACTGGGCGACGTTTGCAACCTTGTAGTTAGGTTCTGACAGGGCACTCTCAGAGGTTACAATTATTGCCTCCAATTATGGCTGATTAAAACCTTTTAGCCTCCGAGACGACGTTTTTAATGATTTTCTGAAAAATTTGGATTCAAAAAACTTATCAGAGTTTGAAATAGGGAACCGTATAGTGGTGCTGTCAGGGTTCTTCCGGGGGTTTTTAAATTGGACTCGAAATTTAAGTAACTAAAGGCTTAAACTTTCATAATTTTTCAAATACTCTTAAATTTAGTTTTTCCCAACAAAAAATCTTAGATTGCAAAAGTTTTAATTAAACTTCAGATTCCAAACATTATCGTGGATTGCTGTGAGGTAATTCTCAGAGGTTGAAAATCGTACTTTCAAATATACCTGCTGAAAACCGTTAAATTTCCGAGATATGACGTTTTTTTTTAAATTTTTTATTTTAAGAATTGAAATTTTCACAAAACTTAGGTATAAAAAACTGAACAAGCGTTGAAATTCCCAGCCCCATAGTAGATGGCTGTCAGCTGGTTTGTATGATCTTTTTTATGAGCAAGGCCAAATGCTATAAGTAATTTTGCCCATCGATTCATCATAATATAGAATAGTGTACGTTTTTTTAAAATCTTTGCTTGAATAGCCTGATTTCACAATTTTTATTTTGAGGAAAGATTTAGGGAAACTTTTGGTTATGGGTTATTGGTGTCGTCCAATATGTTTCCACAAAAACTATTTCTTTTTAGTCTTCCTCTAAAAAATGTCAAAATTTGCTTGAAAAATTCATTACAAGTGTGTGTATTGTTTAGCAGTAAGTTTGAAGGCTTTTATGGAATATAGACGGCAAAATTTTAATTCAGTGTGAATGAACGTAGCGAAGACTCTTAAATAGGTTGTGATGATTTTTATTCATCGCGGCGTGGCTTCTGGTTTATTTGGAAATTCAATTGAATTTTTTTTTGCTTGGAAGGAAGATAATTCTCCTATCACGAAAAAAAGGCATGAATGTGTGCGAAAAATGACTCTTAGTTTCGAATGTTATTTTTAATTGTTAGATTTCTTAGGGGCGTAATTAAATGACCCAATTTTCTCAAATTGGGTTAATATTAAAAAAACTTCCCATCTTAAAAGTTATGGAACTTAAAGGAGCTTTGTGTCATTTTTCCTAAAAATGGAAATTTGAAGATTCAAAGTAAGTCAATCATTATTTCGTTCTTTTTGAGTTCCTTGACTTTTTCACAACTTTCTGTTGACTGCGCTTTTCATGCTTACATTATGATGGTCGTGTGTTTAAAACCGCTTCGATTGAACTGTCCCAGTGTCATCCGCCTCCTCAATTTTCAATATCAATTTGGGACGATAATTAACACGCGATTTGAATCTCGTATCGATCGTCGAAGTAGTAAATGAGATTGCGTGCATCATCAGCGAGAGCATCGGCGCTCATAATATTTAAATTAAGGCCAGTAATTCATTTCATCTCAGACAACATTTGACAGAAGTGGTCTCATTTAGAACTCAAAATAAGGTGCGAATCATTAAGTTCGTCAAGCGAAGCGGGTTTTTAAAGAAACGAATATACCTGAGAATGACGCATTTCAGCGTGGTGAAACTGCCCGCCCACATTAGATACGTTGTTCTTTTTTCCGCGCCTCTGATTTCAGACTCGGTCATATTTAAATTATTGGCAAGAAACAAATCACAACAATTTTTTTGTTGGTTGGAAACGAGAACACTTTCAGTTGTACTACTTTTGATTCTAAGGAATTTGTTTGAATGTTGATTTGCTTTTTGATTTCCTCAGAAGCTTGCATTTTAATTCATTTATAAATACAGCGTAAAACTTGCTCTGCAATCAAAATAGTGAATTTACTTAATTTATCTCAATTTTTGGAGAGATTTTCCCAACTGAGTAAAATGAGTATTGATGATTTTTCTTTGTTCTTGACTTTTCATGATTCTTACTTTTGATTCTTCCCAAAATTAGATTTCTTTTACCGAGAAAGTGTCAGTCATGGTATTGTGCGGAAATAAGTTTTTCGGTCTGCAATTTGTTTCCATGAAAATAACTTTGACATGTAACTCCTAATTTTGGTTTCTGTTTCCATCGTATTTTCAAGAATCTATTAGCTATGTTTTTAAAACTACATTTGTCCATTTTTTGTGTTAATGGCTTGTTTTTGTTTCCATCATTTTTTGTGAATGGGTTGTTTTTGTTTCCATCACTTTTTTTTCTAGCCAATTTTGACAACCTATAGGAAAAAAGTTTGGAAATCAAATGTGGTTTCATATTGAAGGCATTGTGGTCGTATTTTGGATTCTTTAAAAAGTTAATGTCGAAAAAAGCTGGTTATTTTAGACGAAGGTTGCTGATAGGCTGATCTCCACAATTTAACTCTAATTTAAGTTGATTATCTTTTTAGCTACAAATATTTCTTGTTCATGTAGTTTTTCACCTAATTCAGTCACTGTTTACTATAAAACAGCAGTAATTTAGAACGACACAAAATTAGAATTGCCTAATAATTTTAAACATGTTTTCAATTTATCAACTTAATTTTGGTCGATTTTTAAAATTGTCTTCATTTTTGATTAGCTTTCATTTACACCAGCGAAGCGTAGTGTAATACTACGAAGCAACTTTTCCCCCACCTAGTCGCAAATAAAAAGTTCTTTTTGTTGGCACTTTTGGTAGATTTCCAAGCATAGGCATTTTTACACAAGCAAATCTTGTGTGATAGTATGAACTCTCTTCTTTTTCCAACCTAAGTCGCGAATATTGTTGCGACAAAATGTGTTCATTTTGTAAGTGTTCATTTTGATCAGTAACCAGCTATTAAGTACAACCAATACTAAGGATATTAACACAGACTATTATATTACAAATATCACTTATGCTTCAAGGTGTCATGGATCTGTAGCGTAGAGGTAAGGAAGGAGACCGGCAACAAAATAAGAGGATTTCAACCTGGGAAAGGTCGGATGTTTTAAATGAACTTTTTCGTATACTAGTTAAAATGTGTCCGCTCTATAAATTGAGGCATGTTAGTTGGTAATTGTTTTTTTTTTTCAAATTGACTGGTACTACTAATGCGTCATAATTGGCTGGCGGCACTCAGCAGCTATGTAGACTTAATTAGCGTGCGTCACTTAAGAAATTTTGTAGACTCATTTTCTATAGACTCAATTTTGTAGACTCATAAGAAAAAGTTGTACTCATTCAGTTTTTCCCAGTAGCGTTATCGGTCATTTTTTTTGCTTGTGTATGCGAAGTGCAACTTCGCATCTGTGTAATGGCATTTATAACTTTATTACGTCTCTCTTGGTCGCTTGTGCTAGCTTACTTCCAAGCATTGGCTTCTGCCACTTAAGAAATTTTGTAGACTCATTTTCTATAGACTCAATTTCTCAGACTCATAAGAAAAAGTTCTACTGATTCAGTTTTTCCCAGTAGCGTTATCGGTCATGTTTTTGCTTGTGTATGCGAAGTGAAACTTCGCCTCTGTGTAATGGCATTTATTACGTCTCTCTTGGTGGCTTGCGCTAGCTTAATTCCAAGCAATTATGTCGCAGATGCAAAGATGTGAGACTCTTAGTGTCAGGTCGGAGATTCGAATCCGGCACATTGAAATAGTTTAATTTGGTGGATATTTAGCTGCATAGCATTGGCCATTAAAGAGCTTTCCAGCTTGGCTGTCGTGTAAATAACTGTGGTCACAACATTATGATTTGCTTGTCTAACTCTCTTTGTTAGTTTCTGCAATATTTATTGTATTTAAGGAAATTTTTTTCTATATCAATGTTTGTTTCAATTCGGCAGGTGTTACTGGAGTTTTTGTCATTTTTTTTGCCTGTAATATAGACTTGCAACGTAAAAATTTTGCATATAATAGAAGTTTGTTGCGTAATTTTTGCTCGGCGAATTTCTATCACTCGCTTATTTCTTTTCGAATTTCATAATTTATAATTTTCGTAAATAATAGTTTTCATTATTTGGCATTATGCTTTCCAATTTATTACATGCAAGTTTTGTGTAAGTACGTTCATCTGGTTATATTCCAAATTATTACATGAAAATTTGTGTCTAGTTGTATTTGATGCCATTTTCGGTGCATCGCATTGGCAATTTTGTTTAGGATATAAAGTTTAATTGTGGCTTCTGTTTGTAAATAGTTCGTTTTTTACAGAGCGTATATTGGTGAGTACACAACCAAAATGTGCAATTAAAATAAGTTTTGCAACGATTCAAAATCGAGTTGTTATTATACATACATTTCTTGAGATTTTTCTTCAAGATGCCGTTGATGAAATAAATAATTGATAAATGAAATGTCTGAATTGTCCCGATAAAACTTTCCTTCAAAAATTGATCGGTGGCGGAATACTATTGTTAGTTCTCTCATAAGCTTGATCAGCTTACTTTCTTGTCTTGTTATGATTTCAACAGACCAATTTTCGTCTATTCTTGAGCAAAATATTCGAATAGCCATGGTTTTGACAATTGAAAAATCTTCGTTCAGTTGGTAAAGCTTTCTTTTTTCGAGTTGTTTTGGTTTTGCCGAAAATTTGCATTCGGAATTGTGTCAGCTCAATTGCCGCTTTTTTGTAATTTTTTGTTTATTCAGAAACATAATACAACTGTTAAAGTTGTCATATTTTGCTACAAAAAAAATACCAGCTTTTTGTTATTTTTTGTTTTAATTTTTCTGTTACTATAACAAATTTTTTACGAACAGAGTCAAATAGTTTTTTTTTATGGGTAACGTGTTTTGACGGTAAAATTTTAATTTCTTCGTATAATTTCAAGATGAACTGATTATCCAGTTGTCACCAATTTGCTTAATATTTTTCTAGTAAATAATAACACTTAAAAGCATCAATAACACGTTTTTATAATGTTTGTGCTCAAATTGGCGTCTAGAATTTTGATCAGCTCCAAGTTCATGCTGTTAGGAAACTGAAAGGAAATGAATATTCTTCAATAATACGAGGTACAAATTCTCAGTGGAGTTACAAAATGTCAATTGAACCAGTCTTCTGACGTAAGGTTCGTTTTTAATGTATCATGTAATAATAAACCGAAAAATGGAAGTTTTCAGAAAAAAAACGTTTTTAATTTTTCTTATTTCATTAATAGTTCCCCAACTGGCTGTTGTCTGGTATAATTGCAATTAGTTTTTTAGTTTCTTTTTTTTGCTGAGTTTTTTGTTAATTTCTTTAACTTGCGAAAGTTTTATTTTTAATGGAAGATTTATGCTTTTTTACACTTGTGAAAGCAAGTGTCTTCTAATCGGGATTTAGACTGTTTTTCCAGTAAACAACTTTTCTTTAAAATCTTACTCTTTTCTTACTTGCTCTATTATTGAAGTATAAGAACTTACAGGTTCGTTTCTACTTGGCCTAGAGGCAACGCCGTCACCCTAGCACGCTACTGTCGGGGTTTGAATCCTGGCGGACCATGTTTTTTTAATTGAATTGTCGGGTTTTCGTTTCTCTGCTTAAGTTTTGTCGGCTTATTTGCCATATCATGGTTTTTGCTTGTGCTTTTTCGTTTCGACTCAACTTGTGTCTGCTCAAAGTTTGTTGGCTTAGTTGCCTTATCACAGATTTTTCTTGTTTTGTAAGCAAATTTCATTGAAGTTGCAAGTGCATGTATTGCAAGTGTTGTTCAATGTTTTTTCAGGGGGTTTTGAATTTTTTTGAAAACTTTTTTTAAGTATTTTTTTCCGGCTCCACTTGTGTCTGCTCAAAGATTGTCGGCTTTGTTTTCTTTTCGTAAGTTTTGTTCTGTTCTAATTTATAATTCAAATGTCTGGCGTTTTTGCTTTAATTGAGCGTTTACCGAGATGTACGAAAGTCTTAGGAGACTTCATTTTTTTCTTTTTTCCAAATTATGTTTGTAATGTTTGTATTGTATCGCAAGCAATGCGAAGCTCCGCTTAGCCTCTGTGTTAAAAACTTGCTTTTAAGCACTGTTAGGATCTTGTTAAATATCCTCACTCTCCTTTGGTACTTATTTAAATTATCTCCCTATATATGAATTATTCAACTTTTAAGCATATGCGAAATTTTGTCCCCTATAATAATAATCATTTCTCTTGCGATTACTATGTAAATTTTTGCATTATTTGGTCATACTGTAGTTTTGTTCACGTGATTTTTGAATTAGAAAGTGGAGTCAATCGCTTTTATCCTGATTTTGAGAAACAGCTTCAAGCAATGTGTTCATGTAGGTTATTTTTATCGATAATGAAGACTTGAAATCTGTCTTAGCTTTTAAGTAGTCTATAAATAACCGCGAAACTGAGTTTTTGGCAGTTTGTGGGTTTGTAGTTTTGCGGAATATTGAGTTTGTATGCTCATCGACCATATGATTTTTCTATTTTCTGGAACCTGTCGATTGAAGGTAGCTTTTAATAAGCCCCTTCTCCACTCGAGAATATTTTACCAAGTTATTAATAGAACTAAATTCGAACTGTCTGAACAAAACCGAAGTCACCCATAAGACCAATTGAAATAGTTGTTGTCTCTATACTTTCTGTAGTTTTGTAGTAACAATTACGCTAAGTTTTGTAGTGTGACAAGTTGCTGCGTTTGGTAGTAGTAGTTGCTACCACTTTTATGGTAGCCAAGTTTGTTGCTCCAACTTAGGGGGTTGTTAAATCTGCAAGGCCGACCCCAGTTAGTATTTAATATCTTACTGAAAGTTAGGTTAATTTGAAGTCTCTTCAATTTGAAAAGTAACATGGTAAATTCGCACTCCTGCTATAAGCATTTATAAATGTGTGTAAAAAGTAGTTATAAAAATAGCTGAAGCCGAATATATTCCCTAAAAGAACTTCCACGCTTTCCCATTCTAAGCCAACATTCTTTTTGTTCCTTAATTTAATCCCGTATTCCATTTCACGTCATAAGCTTACATGTACTGTTCCCTTCCTGACTGTTAAAAGTGAATGAACTCTATGTATTTTTTTTTACTTACCAACCGAACGAAATATAAACTGGCTGACGCAATGAAACAAGGACCTTAGATAGCTACAACTTTAATGACTCTGCTTTCTATCTAACTTTGATTGAATATATAATTAATTAATAATTATAATCATAATAAATTGTTTCCAAGTGAAGTCATTGCACAAACAGAATTATAAGTGAAGAATTCTTTTACAAAATAGCTAGGTGTATTTTGTTCATGCTTGATGTCGTTTTTCTTTCGTATAATTTACTCTCGAATCTGTGCTTGCGTCAAATGGACTTGAGGATGCTTTTTTGAGTGACTTGGTGCAACAATGAACTTGATGCTCATCATATCTCAACAGACCAAAAATTTTAGAAAAATTTGGACTTTTATTCAAGTTTGCACCAATTAGAAGTCTATCTTGGACACTTTTGACCAAAGTTTTGGCAATACAATCGAAGTTTTGTGCAAACTAATCCGAAGTGAAGCCACTAGTTAGTTTTCATTACCCTTGGGTTTGCATATGCTGTAACTGAATACCAAGAATGAAATCAGAAGAAGCAGCTTCGAAATTGGAAATGAATTCGATGGACTTGGAACATCTCTTAGCACAGCCGCGTGTCAGTATATTCGGCTATGGATCTCTAGTATGGAGACCTGCATTCCAGTTTGACTCGTGGGAGCTGGGTTTCATCAGAGGATATTCTAGAAGATTCTGGCAGATGTCAACTCATCACAGGGGAACAGAAGACAACGTAAGTTCCCTCTTTTTATATTTTTCGGTTTCATTTTTCCTGAAATATTGAAGTTCGTTGAAATTTCATTCGATGAATTTGAAAATATCTTAATTACATGCTTAAATAATTTTGAATTGCATAGCAGAAAAAGAAATGTTTGTTTTTGAGATCAAAACAAAAATAAATGTCATGAATTTTAGCGTGATTTGAAAGGCAGAACAATCTTACATTTATAGTTTGACAAGTCCTTAAGATTTTTAAGTTATCTAGTGGACTAAACTTTAATTTTCTTCAGCCTGGCCGCGTGTTAACTTCGCTAGAAGAAAAAGACAGTCAAATTTACGGAATAACTTACCACGTGAGTGGTCGCGACAAAATCCTGAAAGCTCTGGAGGCTCTCGGAATCCGAGAAGTTGTTCTCGGGGGCTACAGCTCAATGCTGATGGATTTCTATCCCGCGTCTAACGAATGGTGCAGTCGAAAACCGAGTTGCAAAGTCGTGTTGTATATTGCTCTTCCCTCCAACGAGTTATACTGTGGAGATGAAAGAGAATCGGAGTTTGATATCGCCAAGTGTGTTTCGCAATGCGAGGGGATTTGCGGACCAAATAGCGAGTATATTCTAAAACTGGCAGAATTTATGAGACGGAACTTTCCAGATGTGAGTGAACCTCATTTGTACGAAATCGAAAGACATCTGAGAGTTCTAATTAACCAAAAGACTTCAAAACATGTGCAAAAAACGCAGTCATCTCCTAAAAACATTTCCATTTGTTCTGAACAAGAAGATACGAACGGTTTGAGAACTCAAATAGAGAGTTTAAGATCTGCAAAAGTGAAGGTCGCCACCGCCTAGAAATGCTAATTGATCTTGTTAACAACGCCCCCCCCCCCCGACCAGGGTTTCTGATAAGTTTTCAATACCCCTACTTAAACTGTTAAGTCAAGTCTAAAGCCTAATTTAACAGCTAAGCATACACCACGTATTTTGCACCTTGTAATGAATGGACCTAGTTTCGTTCTTTTAAATGAAGGGGGAAATAGCTAAGAAGATCAATGCAAAGAGTACTTTTAATCATGTAGGGTAGATGACTTATACCCATTAGTTGATAGACGCCATAAAAGTGCAGGGATCCGCTTCCAAAGTGTCAGTGCTTTTTGTTCGGTGCTTATGTTGATGTATTTGAGTAGCGTACTTATTTAACTTAGCTTTTATATTTAACTGCGGTTGTCAAACTAAATTAGCTCAATAAAATTGTAATCAAACTAACTCTTTTGCTTATGCAAAGCAGCTTTCGTGTCCTTTTTGTTTGTCTTTCCTTCAAGTCCTATAAATGTGGATAGCAAATTTTATTTTAAGAATTGATTAAATGCTGCATTAAAACTAAATTATTCAATCAGGCTTGGTTAAAACTCAAGATTTTGTGTCAACACTTACGATGAGCTAATGTATTGTAATCGGCAACTTAACTGTTTCCCTGTGAACATTTTTGGGGAGGGTTCTCATGCTTGAAGGACCGAATGCTTGAAAAATTTCAACCAATCAAAATCGCTAAGCGTTTTCATTGGCTAAATGCCTTTCTCACAAAATCGAAGCCAGTATTAACAGAAAATGTATTAAATCAGTGAAAAATAATCAAAAACATTACAAATTGCGGGTTACAACCGCAATACTATTCAGATAATCATCAAGATTAATGCGGTCAAAATCATAAGAATTTTTCAGTCTTGAAAACTCGTCTGCTTATTATCTAATCGGTCAATATTAACACTAATGGCCTGGATTTATTTTCTTACTTTGAGATTTTCGCGATTTACTTTGAGATTTTGATGACTCGATTCTGATTGGCTGAAACTAAGCTAAAATTAATTTCAAGCATTCGGTCCTTCAAGCATGAGGGACGCCACCACATTTTTTTATAACGAAAGAAAGTTCTCACAGTGGAATTCTTCATAAGCGAATGGCCGATAATAAAAATTGGCCAATCAGATTTCAGTATTTCAAAATTTTCGAGAGAAAGCATGAAAGTCGCAAAGAAAGTAAACATTAACAGGGACTTAATATTAATATTGGCCGAATATAAAAACAGCAGAAATATGCAAAAGTTTCATATTGTCACTGACCGCCGGTGAATTGGAGCAAATTTATATTCCAAGCGTTTCTTTATAAAAGAAGCAAAATAGAATGCAGCTGAACGGCAATTGATTGATTTTAATAATTGACTTTCGGCAGTTTTTGTTTTCGGTCTTTCTACCATAAGTCGATCGCCCATTCGGTCCTTCGCTTCTGGGAATAGCCCCCGTTTCTCACCATTTATTTGTTACGTGCTCGTCACTTCTTTCAGTTTAATTGAGTATACGCGTCTGCTACTTGCATTGTCGCATTGCTATTTTGCATTCACTTTGACAAACTTTCCGGCTCAAAATCATTGATAAAATAAATTCGGCTGAAATAGCGTTCATATTTCATATTAATTGTAAAAAATGACGTATTTTCGTTTGTTTTCCTGGCAAAACCATAAAGCATTTGTTCACGCTCAAATTTGATGATTTTTTGCGGCTTGGCTGGTTTCCTTTTAAGTTCAATTCATTTCCCACATTAAATGAAGGCAAACTCCACTATCAAACCACAAAAATGTAAAATTCACGAAAAACATGAATGAATTTTTGTTTTAAAGTGAACTTAAATTTTTCAGTTTCCAGAATTCACAATTTCTGAAAAAAGTGCTAATCATATACAGTATTTGAAGATCAAAGAGCTTTATGTGATTTTTTAATTCGAAAGTTGAAAATTTTGAAACGTTTTTGATCGTGTTTTTTCGGTTTCCTTGTTCTTGTACACCTTTTCAACTGCTTGTTGGCTAAGTTTTCAAACTTCAAATTACGACAAATATAAGTCTATAATAATAATCTTTGTAGTCTATAAATAATCTCTGGTGGCTCCAAATTAATATATTTTTTCCAATTTATCTGTCCGATTACTGTGTTTAAAATTTATATTTTCAGTCAATTTGTGGTCTAAAAGTTTTAAAACAATTGTTCAAGTTTTGGAAGGGGGGTCTAGCAAGAAAATGGGACTAGCGGAGGGGGACCGCAAATGTCTTAAACCACCAAAAAAAGATTGGTACAAATCATACTCTATACTCAATTTTTTATAACTTCCCGGGGAAGTGCTTTGGATTATTGCACTTGCGAGAGCTATTGTACTTGTAATCGGGAACTAGTCTTTTTCCTTAAACAACTTTTCGTGGGAACTAGTCTTTTTCCCGTAAACAACTTTTCGTACCAATTTATTAGAGTTTGACCTTTTTAAGGAACCTTAACATTTTTCACGCCAATCTCACTTGGTCTAGAGAAACACAAAGTCTAGGTACCAAGGCCGGACGGAGCTTGTGTTTCACCGATGTCTTGAAAATCAGTTTTTTTTTCGGGAAATTGTAACATTGTATGTCTTCAAACTGTTTTCGGCGTTCATTCTTCAGCATGTGTTTTTTTCTTCAAAGCATCTTTTTACTTATAGTTGAAAGTCAGTTTGTAATTAGTAAGTTTATCAGCTCTGATTTTGTTTAATATTTTCTTTTCGTTTTTTCCATAAATGCAATATATCGACTTGGTACTCATTTTGCGTCGTTTGAAGGGCAAAAATAGTCTTTTATGCTTCTGTGTGTTTAAGGCGTACATTTTTTGAAGTGTTCGTCGAAAGCTATTTGTCTTTGGCTTAACTGGCGTCTACCTAAATCATTTCAGCTTGCTTGCCGCTCGGTAAATGATTTTGTTTTTGCTTATTTAAAGGTTGTGGTTTTATTTTTTGACATGTTTTTCTCAAACTGAATGTGATTCGACAACCATGTCTGAACTTTTATAGACGAAGTTTGTTTTCGAATTTTAAAAAAGTTTTCTCCGTCTCTTTTTCTGCCTGCTAGCTTACAATGCTATGTTTCAGTTGTACCACAATTGTTTCGTAGCTCCGCTTCAACTCTGTGTATTATGCTGAATTAATTTTGTTCTCGACACCTCAACGAAGTGAAAGGAAGGCTCTATGGCGCAGGGTGTTTTTCTTTCAAGTTTCTGATAACCTCAAAAGAAAGCTCACAGGGAGTCAAGCCCGTAGTATCTTATTATTATATTATAGCTCTATTGATCGGCATTCGAATTTTGACAAAAAAAAACAAAATGTTCTTTTGTCCCTAGTCAATTTTCTTTCTTTTAGCGCGGGATGTTATTAGCTGAATGTTTTTTGACTTCGCCGCTGGGCTCAATTGCTTTAAAGACGGATGCCCTTGTTTCTAATCCGTAGTTTTCATGGTCAAGGCTTGTGTTCAAAGCTTTTATGCGAAAAAATATATTTTCAGCTGCGAATTACGAATACCGAACGTTAAAATTCTCTCCATTGCTTTTATTAAGTACACTTTTAATGCTAGAGTGTTAAGTATTAAATACAATAAATTGTTTTTTACCACATTAAAAACATCGTAGAATTGAAAAAAATTGAGTTAAGTCCTGGAAGCTTTTGTGGATCATGTTTTAGTAGCCATGCTTTCATAATGGGTTCCCTTAATTCTCTGCCGTGTTGCTGTTTTAGTCGTATTCTGGCGGTGGAGAGTGCGGACGAGTTCTACTCTCTCATGGCACAAGTACAGCAGGAGATGTTCGAGTACGACCTCATTGACTGCGAACAACTCATCGAGGTAATATCAACAGCATTCCATCCCACACAGTCAAATGCAATCAATCAGAACTCCAAAAAATCATAGAGACAATTTTAAAAGTAGTTTCTGTTGTTGCTTTGTTCGGCGAATTAAATACTTTTTCTCCAATCAGCTTCGAGGTCTCAGCCTATATTTCGATGTATTTCTCGAAAACATGATTATTTCCTTTAACTTTGAGAAAAAGCATTCCAAATTACTTTATTTGTTCGGAAAATTTAATTAAAAATAATGTTAATAAATTCAGTCTAATAGGATTTACTAAGAGTTTTAGGGAACATGAAGCATTGTATTTCACTCACATTAATAACAAGAGTGTTTTTTGTCCTTTTAATTAGATCGCACAAATTTGTTTTGGATACAATACATTTTTCCGTCTTGAGTTCCATCTTGTGTCAAAATAGGTTATGACATCTATTAGTAAGATGATTGGGAAGACGATGATACAAATTGTGGCATTTTAATCCTGGTTATGAATTTTCTTGATGCGCTCCAATCGTAAAATACCGAAGGATTTAATCGTCCTATTAAATATTTCAAAACAGGGGATTTAATTTAATTTTTGCGTCCTTAGGAATGTCGTCTTCTAATCACCTGCTCACAAGTTTTTGATTGAGATTCAACACAAAACAGCTTATGAAAAATTCACATCAATTTTGTGTTCTGCTTTTGCTTGTTATCGTAGGCTTAATGCAAATTATTTAAATGAATCGGTGGAAATAAAGCTCACATAAAACTTAGTTTTCTCTTACTTTTTCCTACATTCCAACTGTAGTACGTATTTTAAAATGAACTTTAAAAATTTACTGTTTTTTCTGCTTGTATATTTTGAAAGCGCAAAAATCAATTTGTTCGGGCTTAAAAAATCCGACAAAATTTTAGAATGCAATTTTTTCGGCCTTGTTATTTTGATTTTCGCAGCTAACATTCAATACAAATTACTCTAGCTGAACTAAAAAAAACTCAAAAGTTTTTTAAAAAAATAGCCTAAAGAAGTTATTGCTGTGAGGGATAATGGGGTGTTTTTGTTTCAGACAATGTACTCGATGGGCCCCATTCCCCTTCCCAATGTGTCAGAACTACGAGAGAAATACACCTACAACATAACCCCCTTCTCCCCAATGCATTCAGCGTCTGCTGGTGTCACCAAACCAGGATCCAAGACCTCCTCCGCCTCCACATCTTCTAGTGGTGACAAACTGGGAAGAGTAGTGCAAAGCGATGATGAAGATGACACGGATGATCGCAACGCACTTCTCAAGTGCTTCCCAGCCCCATTCTTGTTGCCGGCCAATAGTGCGTCGTCGCCTGTGAAGAACGGGACGAACAGTGGCTCCAAGGAGATATTCAGTGGAGGTGAGCACATAGTTGAAACTACTGTTTGTTAGTACAGCCCAATTAAGAACCTGTGTAGCCGGTCGAATTGGTTGCAATCAACTTGAATTTCTTTCTTTTGAATTGTCAATTAACACAGTAGAGACTAGTTTTAAGGTCGTGTGTATGTTTTTTTTTCGAGAAAGTCTTAAAAGCTGTTTGCACTCAAATTTGATAGTGCGTGGTTTGAATTTTGAGTCCGTGAACGTTTTAAAGACTATTCAGTTCATTTCCTTTGTTAAAGAAAAAGCCCATTACACTATCGAACAGCAAAAGTGTAAACATTATGAAAAACGTAATCGACTTATTCACTTATTGATCCAGTTTTCTCAAATTGAGTTAATTTCATCAAGGTGTTAAAAAGAAATTTTTTCTTGGAATTTGAAGAGCTTCAAGGTCATAGATTTTATTCACTTTGAAATTAGATAATTGAAGTTTTTTTGTCAAAAAACAAGTTTTTTTTGCTTCTTGCGTTTATTGACTTTTTTCCAACTGTCTTTTGGGCTATGTTTAAGTTCAGTTCAATTTCTTTGGGTTAATTGAAGGCAATTTAAGGTCGCTTTCAATAAAAATTTTGAATAGCTCAAAAACATGATTGCCTTTTATTTTCGAAAAAGGATTGAATTTCTTAGATTTCCCCGAAGTTCATTTTTCTTTACCTTTTAAAATAACTTTCAAAACTTCTATTTAAAAAAACTTCAATTTACGATACAGGAAAAAAAAAGTAACAATATAAGAGAGAATACATTCAAATGGGCATTGTGTTATTTGTTGCCACGTTAACTCACAGATATATCTTGCATGCATGGTGAGTGCTGTACCTCTTTCTGGTTCTGGATTTTGCTACATTCCTTACACATTTAATTTTTTTCGTGCATACTCCAGTTTTTGAATCATTGAGGTTTCGACCACGATTCACAGCCAGATGACAATAATTTTTTCCTGGTATCTAATCTATTTTAAGTAACTTTTCCATTCATCGGAAATGATGTGAGCACCTTTTTTGATAGGGAGGTGTTTGATCTATAGGAAACAAAATTTGTTTCGTGCTTTAAGATATAGCTTACCAAGGTTTCGTCGGGTTCATCAAAATTACACTGCTCTTTACTTACCTGTCCGCGGCTCAATTTTATTTTTGCAAGTATAGTCGTCTATGTCTAGAGTTTTGTCAAAACCGTCACGTTTTAAAGTAGCAGCCAATAATGCTTGAATATACCGTTCTGATTGTTATTCCAATCGACAATATTTCCTGTAGAATTCTGAATTTTCCTAAGTTTAATTTAAATTGAATAGTAATTATCAATTTATTAAATGAGATCATGGTTTAGTGGAGCTCACCTCTCAAACAGCGAATTCAATCTGATTATTTTTCAATTACATTGTTTGTGTTTTTCAATTGCACGTTATTTATTCAATTGCGCGGAGCTAATCTTAAAAAGAAACTGCCTGCACTGTTGTCATTGGTATTTCAAAAGTTGAAAAAACTTGATTAAATAGTTAATATTAATCAAAGTGAATTCATTGATGAGCCCCATGCAATCATGGTCTCCTTTCGTTTTGTAATGGTGTCTGCACTTTTTTTTATTGATACGCCATCGAACTTTTTTCTCAGTCAAATGTAATTTCATTACAGATCCACATACAATGTAGCATCAGTCAGGGTGTAATGATCCTCTCTCCGCTAGAAAATAATTAGCGTCAGTTTAATCTTGTACGATGTTGTTCAGTTTTATCAGATTCATTTGGCACATTTTTGCTGTTTATTTCACACCAAAATGGGCAGAGTCTTGTAATTTGGCTTAAGAGGCACTTAGCTTAGTGGTAAGGCGTTCTTTCGTGATCGTCAAGTAATGTAATCGATCTCTTGTCATGGTAACGATAGTGGGTGAGGAAGAGCGCTCACTTGACCTCTAGTTTCAGGTTTACCACAGCCTGGCTGATTTGGGCAACAATAGTGGTGCCACGTGAAAGTTTTAAGCTCAAAAAAGGCCTTAAGTTGCAAACAAAAATCTTCGTTCAGCAAAAAAAACTCAGTTTGGAATGTGGGAAATTAGAGAAACGGACTATGATTAGACAGGTTGGATGGCCTTGCATAGATTCTCTGGGAATCGCAGAAACTATAATTATGTGGAACAAAATTGATGAATGTACTAGCTCTTCCAAAATACAAAAAGTTCTTATGCGGCCAAATTTTTCTGCGCCTTAGACTAGTTAACCGAAATGTTGCGACCTAAAGTTTTTGCTTTTTCCGGCGATCTCTGTTTTACAAAATAACTGTATTTTGGAACCTTTGGAGAATTTGTAGGTTGGACGGCCAGCTGACAAGGAATCAATATTAGTTCTGATCTATTTGCTTTGGATATGTAGAAAATTCGCATCGAAGTTCCTTGAAAATGTTGAGTCATGTCAATCATTTTCCACCATCTTGTTTAATTTATTAAATGGAAGTTTCAAGAATAAAATTCTGCCTTGATTTTTTCATCGGTGTCTATTGAAGTCTAGTGACGCAAGTTTTATGACGCGTTCTTAGTTTTTGCGCAATCAATTTTTTTATCAGAAGCTTATTCAGTTCAGACCAAGTTTCTCTACTGATAATTCGTACTCAAAAATGATGCGAGTTTTAAACGTGTTACGTTTCCATCTTAGTAATTTTGTTGCTACTTGATTCTATGCATTAGCTTGATTGTCGGAGACTCAATTTTGCATAACTATTTACACCAGTGTAAAACTGCGATGGTCTGTTTTTTTGCAGATTGAATTGTAGAATTCAAAGGAAAGCTGTCATTAGTGCACCTCTGACTTGTCAAGCCCAGACTCATTGAAGTCCAATTTATACATAGCCAAATTCAAGCTCTGCTCCAATTGCATTATAGCTATTCCAGGAGGGCGCCGATTGCATTTCGCCGCTTCTGAAAAGCCATGTCCCATAAATTAGAAGAATATAGCTGCAGACATTCAAATCCCAAAAGACCGCTGGTTGTGTGAATTACAAACGCACCATCTTTTTCAATTTTGCTCCAAATTACAAACTTGTTTTTTGTTCGCTGCCCACTGAATGTGTTCTTTTTTATGATAATGAGCGCCTCTAAGAATCCAATGCGGTGATCACCTATTCAAAAGCATCTGCTAAACACTACTCGCTACCTGAACATTACGTGGTAGCCATCGATTAGCAATAGCCCTCAAGCAAATTAGGTCTATAGTCGAATGCAATTTCCGTTATTGTTCTTAGTTACTTTCAATAATTTTCTCCTTATTCCAAATTTGTTCTGAAACGCTTCCTTAATTATTGACGGTGTACATTCGTTTTGGTTGTTAATTGCGTTTTCCCCCGGTGCATTTTTTATGTATTGTTTTTGAGGAAAAAGACTAAATATTTTTGCAATATTGACTGTCTGTGTCTTGATCTTCAGCTGCAATACACTGTTGGGAGCGCCTTTTGAGAGCTTAAATAGTTAATGAATGATTATGAACACGGCAACCCAACATGCCTTCACATTTGCATCGATTTTTCCTTTAATTTTAGTGTAACGAAACCGAGGAATTTGATTGATTTCGATCCTCTTATTTCGTATCTGTTTATAAATGCCTTTTCAAGAAGGAAAAATGTTATTCAAGCAGGCTTGGGGACTGTTTGAACCGTTTTGGCTTTTAAATATGTTTTGCAGGAGTTATTTTGCAAGTTTACTAATTACCGCAAACTCAATCCTGCTTCATATATTGTTCTTTATTAACCTGTGGTATTTGTTTGCCTTTTAACTCATATTTAGTAATATATTCGTAGTAAGTAACGGAGACACAGTTTGTGTGGTCTGTGAATCTCATTACCTAATTTTCCATCACGCGTCTCACTTTTCCTGCTGTTTTGACCCTCATTTTCCGCTCTTTTGGTGTCAATTCGATGCTAAAGCGTCTCTTTCAACGCAAAATTGTTATTTTTTCTTCAATTTTTGTCTTTTGTTGCTACTAGTATTTCTGTGAAAAGAATCGAAAGTCAACAAGCGTCCGTTTTTCAAAACGAGCTTTGACTTGAAGCGTTTTATATTTTGACAGTTCTTTTGATGAGTTGAGCACCTTCTTAGATTACTCTTTGTTACTTCAACACAGTTGATTGAAAGCAAGCAGTGTAGCGTGTCACTTTCGTGTTCGGTTCTTATCTTTATTGTCTGTGCCGTTGCATCTCGTCGTTTTTTTTTTCAAAAAAGTCTGAATTAATTTTAAGTTATTGTTCACATGAGTTTGATTTTCTGTCGTCGTCGTATTTTGTCAGACGAGACTCAAGATCCCCCAAGTGCATTTGTGAGGTCTCGCCTGCGACCCAAGCCCCCCACAAACACCCAGTTTCGATACTCGGCTAAAAATGGTACTTATTATGCGTACAGAACTAAGTCTTCTCCTGCTTACCCCGATGGGCGAAATGATCGGAACAACCGACCGACCACTCCTAGTCACTCTTTTGGTTAGTCATTCAAGCAAAAACAAGATGAGCATATTTTAAGTAGTTTAATATGAATTCTTGAAAATTAACAATATATGGTTACACCAAATTATTTGTACAGTCCTTGGCTCAATCGCGTTGCGTATCCTTAGACGAGATCAAGAAGCAATGTGATGCTATTAAACATACGATTTTTGTCTTGTAATTATTTCAAACTCAAAGATTTTGACGAAATGAGTTTCATCAAGCGAGATCACCGAGGAAATTGTACGTGCGCAAATTAAAATATTTTGGATTTGTCGTAAAGCTTTGATTTTAGCCTTTTTACCCAGTATAAGTTGTTGCCAAAGCATTAAATTTTCTAAAACAATTAGCTATTTTCAATGACTTCATCAGTTTAGTATGATCATTCGATCCGTATTGATGTCTATACCTTAGTGTGCTACGGAATAGAATCATTTAAATTTTACTCATGTTTTGGAGTCGATTTCCTAGAGTCTCTCGAATTTATTTACTTCGAAGTAAAAATGGCCATAGCTCATAGCTGTTTGAATATTGTTGTTCTCCCATGCAGTTTTCCTCACATTGTTTTCCATGCGGTTTTCCTCACATTGTTTTCCATGCGAATCTCCTTTTCTTTGGAAAAAATAACTAGGCCGAACGTTTTACGGTACAGTGGTTTGACACATCCAAGTTGGCTGTTTTGCGTTACGGTGTTTTCCAAGTTGGCTGTTTTGCGTTATGTTGTTTTCAGCTTGTCTACGACCTTCAGAAAAATGCCTTCCAAGTTGAATATCGCATGCAACTTTTTTTTCAAATGGTCAAATCGAAAAAACAGTATTTATCGCCAAAACTTATCAAGGTCATCAAACATTGTTGCTCTCCTCATTTATAATTAGTAGCAAAAAGTTCGGACAGACAGAATTAATTAAAAAGAGCAAATGACCTTTTTCAGACAATTTTTGCATGCAAAAGCTAATTTTTCAGACTGAAAGTTTGTCTCAATGTCACCTAAAAATTCAAATTTGCATGCAAAAATTGCTCAAAATTGGCAGATTGCTCTTTTTAATTATTTCTGTCTGTCCGAACTTTTTGCAACTCTCTATAAACTTTCTCGAAATTGACGAAATTGAAAATTTCAGGACTTAAAAATTCATGATATTTTACATTATCAGAAACGGTATAGAATCATTTGGTCAACAAAGCTTTTTGCTTCAACTTTTGGAAAATTTATAATTCTGTACTTGAGAAAAGTTGAGTTTAAAATGGATGTTTGCCCTTGCGATAGTTAGACTTACAGTTAATCAAAAATAGTTGATTTACATTTATTATTGCGTTCAAATAACCTTGATAATGTTATAAGATATAATCAAAAGCGACAACAGTTTATTGCCTTTTTTGGTCTTGTTAATTTGGAATGCGATGGGTTTAATCCGCAAATACTGTTGTATGTTGTGTCCCGAAAATCAACATCGAAGTAGTCGCGACAGTTTGCGCTTCGAGTTGATTTCCCTTTCTCCCAATCACGGGTTAATTTTTGACCAGTATCGTTACAATCATTGCGGAGAACCAGAGTTTGTCAAGTGCTTCAATCCAGTCATTTCTGAGGAGATTCTAGGTAAACTACGTTTGTATGGCATTTTGGAACATCCTTGGCTACAGTTTATCCTGACGGACCTTAACCGAGTAATTGTAATCTTTAAGAGATCAGTGAAAGATTCGCAGCTTTTAATAGGAAAGTTTGGGGGAGTTTTGTCTGAATCCGCGACAATTTTCTCCAGAAAGATTCTTTTCTTCGTTATTTTTGGAAATGTTTTAGGACATATGTTCAACTTTGTAGATTTGCGATCAGAGTAAAACGTTAGCGACGATTTCACCGTCGATTATCAATTGACTGCGCGATTATTCGTCATTAACGAAATTGGTTTTAGACGATGGCTTGTGATTAACGGTACAAATTTATGTAGACGAGTCTAGTGGAAGTGGCACTGGTCTCAACCAGACTGGAGTGGGGGGAAGTCAAGACAGGTCAGTGGGGGGAGGGGGAGGAGGGAGAGGAATGGGGGCTGCGAGTGGCGCCGGCGGTGGGGGCACGGGAGACCAGTTGAAGTATGCCAGTCCAGGCGCTTACAGCAGTCCCTGCGACCCCCGACTGCCCTCGGTGGCGCCATTGGAGAGGATGTCGACCGACATCCACGCCCTGAAGAAGCAGTACTCCAAATTGCAGCAGAGAATGCAACAAGTGCATGTCATCTACTACGGTTAGACCACATTGAATCACTACTTTTCTGCCTCTTTCGAACACCCCCACCCCTCACACAGTGTTGAATTTAAGTTTAGGAAATTTATTCGAACATTGTCACACTAATATGAAATGATGCATGGTGAACAAACCAATTGTTATTTCGTGCAATTTGACAAGAAAATGCTGATAGCCATAATAGTAGGCAGAAGTAATTTATGATCATGGAAAATATACAATTTGGACTGAAAGGGGGGGGGGGAGGGATCGTGGAAAGGAGCCAAAAATTTGGTTAAAGTTTATGAAATGCGAGTGATGATTCGACAAAGCTAGTCTTTTTCCGAGATAGACTTGATCGATTCATTTTGCGCTGGCGAGAGATTAAGAGAGCGTTGATACATATATAGTCAGTGTGACTCAAAAGTGTAAAGCCGACTAGTTATCAACAAGTTATACAAGACAAGTTGCATGTCTGTCTCTTGAGTGAGTAGACAGTTTGACTTGATTTGAAGTTTGAGCCGATATTTTATTGAATGTAACTTGGTTCATTTGGCTAACAATGTTGTACTTGCAGACAAAAAGAACCCCAATGGTAAGTAGCTATCCTCCAACTCTGTTACTGTCTCAGTTCTGATTTAGAGTTAGATTTAGTTTGTTCGTTCCTTTTTTGTTACATTGCACTTTTCATCCTCCGAAGCTTGATTGCTTGCGTAGCCTTGTAATGTTAGTTCATGTTTTTGTCCTCAACAACCGTCCTCGTCTGAAACTGAAACCCAATATAGTCTAGGTGATTTTTGTTTGCAATGTGTTTCAATGAAACTCAAATAAGCTCTTTAATGTTATTTAACTTACTAATGGAAATGGATCACATGAAATCGTTCCTATGTCGTCTTATCTTAAGTTTTGGGTGTGTTGTAAGGTGTAAAAACTGCATTCCAATTGCACGGCGTGCAACTGAGTCCTTACCCAGGTGCTCAATGCATTAGTTTGGGGACCGAGCTTCGCACGGCGCCTGTGAAAATACGTGCTGCTAGTTCGTGTGGTATTAGACATGATAGTAGAGGTAGAGCACCCCCCTACAGGTCAAGTGGGGGTGCTGTATCGAATATATCGAGTGACAAGGGGTCTGCGTATAAAAGTACGTGTAGTGGAGCAGGCACCACTTGTGTGAACATTCAGCCGACAAGCAAGGTTTGAGAGCAACACACACAGATGCTGTTCTGTTGGACGTTATTGCACTGAATTCTATACCACTCTTTGTCTATTTTTTATTCTTTCAGTTTTCTCAAGACGTAATTATTTATTATTTGTCCAGAAAAAAGACAAAACGCGCAGCAAGGTTGAATCATGTTTATTCAATAAGCAAGTTTTGAGCTGTCGTACCAGAAAACTCCCCCCAAATATTCTCATAATTTGAAAATAATGCTCTCGTAAGATGGAACTACGTTTGTGCATGTTAAGAGTTCATGAAAGTAGCGAATACTATTATATAGGTCGTTTTAGAAAAGTCCTAAAATTTGTTCACATTCAAAATGGGATTTTTCGCGTTTTGAATTTTGTTGTTTATAAGTTCGGTTCGCTTGCTTTGTTAAAAGGAAGTCAAACTCCACTATCGAACAGCAAAATTGCAAAGGTCACTAAAAACCTAAACAATTTCTAGTTTCGAAAGTGGATTTTTTTTCAGATTTCTCAGCGGAATAAAAAATTTACCTTTGGATCCAGTTTTCTCAAAATAGGTCAATTTTATCAAAAAAAATATCATAAATTGTTATTGAAAATCAAAGAACTTTAGAGCAATATAGTTTTTTCATTTAAATTGGAAAGATTTTTAAAAAGTCAGTATTTTTTTCTTTGCGTTCATTGACTTTTTTCCAACTATCTGATGGCTGTTTTTTGTTCAAAATGCTCCGTGTATTTTAGCAGCCACTCTAAACTCATCTCAGTGCTCTTGAAAATCGCCGTTGGTTCAAATATAATACGGGAAAAATTTGAATCAGATAGTACCCAAGATCTTAAATGGTCGGTTTTTGTTTTACTTTTCAGCTGTGACCTCTTTAAATCAAATGCCAGGCTATTTGAGATTTCGGATGCTCTCTTATTCACTTTTGACCATACAACTTCAAGAATTGTACTTAAGTTGTGTTGGAATGAAATGGAATGTTTTTTTTTTGTGTTCAGGTGGTCGGAACTCGATTGATGCCAACAGCAGTCCAGCCTCCGGAAACTCCTCGGGTGGGTCGCCGACGAGCCACAAGCAGCCGCTGGAAGTAGTGAACTGCATGAAGACCAATCTGGCAATCAACCACCTGTTCGTGCTGAACAAAGACCACGCCAAGACCCAGCTGGCACTGACACCATCCACTGGCATAGACACCAATCAACCTGTCAATCATTTAACCATCAAACCCTACATTCCTCCAGATCCTCTTCTCAATAGAAGGAACTCCTCGCAGTCGCCGACGGACGAGATCTACAGACAGTCGGTCTCATCCCCGACCACTAATTGCTCGCCACTAAAATTGAGTCCGGCCAAAATGAAGACTCTAAGTGATAGATCCCGCGTGAAGCGTAATGGTACGTAAAGTTTGGACGACGTTTTTTGCAAAGTAATTTGCAAATACACAATACCACAAAAATAGTCGGGTACTATGAAAGTAGCACAGAATCTTCTAACGGCTGTTTTTTTTGGTTACGAAAAACTGAAAATGAGGATACAATTTTTTCAAAGGATAACAATTATTTTTTGAAAGATTTTCTCACCTTTGTGCACTAAAAACTGAAATTTTGTGATTGAAACGCTGCTTCAGATTCTATAGGCAGCTAACTTAGTTTTAACTTGTGTTTTAGAAATTGACAGTCTGGTTTCACAAAACGGAAGACAATCATCGACCATCGATTCTCTCAATCTAGACGACCACTCTTACCACGATTCACACATGAATCCATTCGATTCCGACTCGCCACGTGAGCCACGAGTAAGTTCGCCTCGTTCCTCCGCCAAAAATTTTCAGAGTGAACACGAGAACGGACGAGCCGGAACTCCGGAGAGCCAAAATCACCCGGAGAGCAGCGCGTACTCGACCGAAGACGAGGGATCTCATTTCGCCAATTCATCGCTTAGACGAAACAGTCAGCAGTCGACACCTAATTTCTCAACCAGTAAAAGCGAACAGTTTGATTTTGAAAGCGAATCAAAAAGCAACCAAAATTCCCCGTCCTCGTCCGATAAGTTGGAAAGGACGCCGAGTATAAAGCCAGCGTCACATGCGATTAGTCAAAGGCGCTTGTCGGCATGTAGTAAAACGGCGTCGGCATCGCAAATGTACCGAAAACCTCCGTTGAAGCCGAACATCCGACCAAATTTAGGCATGAACGACCGACCAAGGATATACAACCCTTTTCCAGTAAATTACGTCCATAATAGTAAACTGAAGAAAGGCAAAGCGTTGGGAATGTATCCGGCTGCGAAGTCTTCCGACAGTGGAGTGGGCGAAAAGGAGAAAAGTGGGTCCGGTTCCGGGACTGGAAAAAGCGGCAGTCAAGTCTGGAAGTAACTAGACGTGAGATAGATCTTGGTGATGATTTAGAGTGGACTGAAACTGCGTGAACTTGTAACTTGGTTTGATGTAGATACATTTGGTGCTAAATTAGTCGTATCATGTGCAGTAGTTAACTCTGATGTTTGTTATAATATCGTTTAACTGGATGTTAATTGTATATACTTCGTCTATTTTTGTTTGGCTGGTGTAGGTCAGTTGTTCCAATCTGGTATTCTACTAATAGCTATGTTTAAGCTTTATTGAATTCTTTCAAATTGAAATAATAAATTGTGAAATGGTATTGGTATATATAAACCTTAAATTTTATGTTAAAAGTTCTTTTACAAGAGTAATAGTAGCCCTCAAATCTAGTTTCCTATATTCCTTAAAGGCTCCACTCTTCAGAACTATTTCTTGACAGCCATTTCTGTCTGAACATCCCTTGAACATTTGATTGCGTTTTTACCCTTGTGATTAGCAAGGGTTTTCAAACCGGAATGTACTTTTTTCGAGTTGAAAACTCTTGAAATCATAAGTCAGACATTAATTCGAGCATGAGTCGAAGAGGGAACGCACCTGCCTATAAAGATCAACGCCAAGAGTTCGAATCCGGTTAGTAACTTTTTTTTGTCAGCGGAAAGTTGTCCGCGCGTCAAAAAATCTTTGTCGGTCTTCTGTATGTCTGCTTTTTTTGTCTTAATTACCGCAAAACCAAATTTGCCAAAAATTTTTACTCGGAAAAAACATTTGGGCAAGTAATTGAGTTCCAAAAAATTAGGCATATTGTTTTGCTACTTTTTTTCATGCTGTCCATTACACTTGCGAGGCAAAGTTTATTAGTACGAACTTTCATTTTTTTCAAGACACAGATTGGAATCCGACACGTAGCTGAGTTTTTGCTGATTCGAAGCTTATTTCACCTGCTAGAGCTCCTTTTTGGTCGTGTTCTCGCAAGAGTTAGCAAAGCGCAGCTTCACCCGTGTTAAAATTTTTTGAAAGTTGTTTTCCTTATAATTTCAAGAAGTTTTTTTGAGCATTCAGTGCAGTGGTAACACGCATGCTTGAGACAACAAATCACGAAGTTCGATTTCAGTCAGGACCTCTTTTTTTGTCGAAACTGAAAACATTCTAGTCTTTCATGTTTGTTAATTTTTCTCAGCTTAGGTCCCGAAGAAAGGTTCGGTTTCTTTTTAGCGTTGTGAAAGCTCATTGTAAAGTTTCCAATGGTGCAAGTCATTTTGTTTCATACATTTTTTGTCCTTTTTTGCTATATAAAATTTTTTTACATTTTTTTTTTAAATTTTGAAGGTTCTTTCAAACTTTGATTTGTCTTTTCATATGCTGGTGATCATAGTCATACATTTTCGTTTTGCAAGTGATGCGAAGTTCAGCTTTGCCGCTCTGTTTAGTTTGTTATATTAGTTAGAAATGGCTGAATAAAAAAGGTTGGAATCCGACACGTAGCTGAGTTTTTGCTGATTCGAAGCTTATTTCACCTGCTAGAGATCCTTTTTGGTCGTGTTCTCGCAAGAGTTAGCAAAGCGCAGCTTCACCCGTGTTAAAAGTTTTTGAAAGTTGTTTTCCTTATAATTTCAAGAAGTTTTTTGAGCATTCAGTGCAGTGGTAACACGCATGCTTGACAACAAATCACGAAGTTCGATTTCAGTCAGGACCTCTTTTTTGTCGAAACTGAAAACATTCTAGTCTTTCATGTTTGTTAATTTTTCTCAGCTTAGGTCCCGATGAAAGGTTCGGTTTCTTTTGAGCGTTGTGAAAGCTCATTGTAAAGTTTCCAATGGTGCAGGTCATTTTGTTTCATACATTTTTTGTCCGTTTTTGCAATAAAAAATTTTTTGACATTTTTTTTTTAATTTTGAAGGTTTTTTCAAACTTTGATTTGTCTTTTCATATGCTGGTGATCATAGTCATACATTTTCGTTTTGCAAGTGATGCGAAGTTCAGCTTTGCCGCTTTGTTTAGTTTGTTATATTAGTTAGAAATGGCTGAATAAAAAAGGTTGGAATCCGACACGTAGCTGAGTTTTTGCTGATTCGAAGCTTATTTCACCTGCTAGAGCTCCTTTTTGGTCGTGTTCTCGCAAGAGTTAGCAAAGCGCAGCTTCACCCGTGTTAAAATTTTTTGAAAGTTGTTTTTCCTTATAATTTCAAGAAGTTTTTTGAGCATTCAGTGCAGTGGTAACATGCATGCTTGACAACAAATCACGAAGTTCGATTTCAGTCAGGACCTTTTTTTGTCGAAACTGAAAACATTCTAGTCTTTCATGTTTGTTAATTTTTCTCAGCTTAGGTCCCGATGAAAGGTTCGGTTTCTTTTGAGCGTTGTGAAAGCTCATTGTAAAGTTTCCAATGGTGCAGGTCATTTTGTTTCATACATTTTTTGTCCGTTTTTGCAATATAAAATTTTTTGACATTTTTTTTAAATTTTGAAGGTTCTTTCAAACTTTGATTTGTCTTTTCATATGCTGGTGATCATAGTCATACATTTTCGTTTTGCAAGTGATGCGAAGTTCAGCTTTGCCGCTTTGTTTAGTTTGTTTAGTTAGTTAGAAATGGCTGAATAAAAAAGGTTGGAATCCGACACGTAGCTGAGTTTTTGCTGATTCGAAGCTTATTTCACCTGCTAGAGCTCCTTTTTGGTCGTGTTCTCGCAAGAGTTAGCAAAGCGCAGCTTCACCCGTGTTAAAATTTTTTGAAAGTTGTTTTCCTTATAATTTCAAGAAGTTTTTTGAGCATTCAGTGCAGTGGTAACACGCATGCTTGAGACAACAAATCACGAAGTTCGATTTCAGTCAGGACCTCTTTTTTTGTCGAAACTGAAAACATTCTAGTCTTTCATGTTTGTTAATTTTTCTCAGCTTAGGTCCCGAAGAAAGGTTCGGTTTCTTTTGAGCGTTGTGAAAGCTCATTGTAAAGTTTCCAATGGTGCAGGTCATTTTGTTTCATACATTTTTTGTCCGTTTTTGCAATATAAAATTTTTTGACATTTTTTTTAAATTTTGAAGGTTCTTTCAAATTTTGATTTGTCTTTTCATATGCTGGTGATCATAGTCATACATTTTCGTTTTGCAAGTGATGCGAAGTTCAGCTTTGCCGCTTTGTTTAGTTTGTTTAGTTAGTTAGAAATGGCTGAATAAAAAAGGTTGGAATCCGACACGTAGCTGAGTTTTTGCTGATTCGAAGCTTATTTCACCTGCTAGAGCTCCTTTTTGGTCGTGTTCTCGCAAGAGTTAGCAAAGCGCAGCTTCACCCGTGATAAAATTTTTTGAAAGTTGTTTTCCTTATAATTTCAAGAAGTTTTTTGAGCATTCAGTGCAGTGGTAACACGCATGCTTGAGACAACAAATCACGAAGTTCGATTTCAGTCAGGACCTCTTTTTTTGTCGAAACTGAAAACATTCTAGTCTTTCATGTTTGTTAATTTTTCTCAGCTTAGGTCCCGAAGAAAGGTTCGGTTTCTTTTTAGCGTTGTGAAAGCTCATTGTAAAGTTTCCAATGGTGCAGGTCATTTTGTTTCATACATTTTTTGTCCTTTTTTTGCAATATAAAATGTTTTTACATTTTTTTTTAAATTTTGAAGGTTCTTTCAAACTTTGATTTGTCTTTTCATATGCTGGTGATCATAGTCATACATTTTCGTTTTGCAAGTGATGCGAAGTTCAGCCTTGCCGCTTTGTTTAGTTTGTTATATTAGTTAGAAATGGCTGAATAAAAAAGGTCGAAAACTAAGGTCGATGAACGTACTTCAGACTCTTTAGCAGGTCATGGTTTTTTTTTCAGGAAAAATTTTATAATGCTCAAATCTCAACAACAGAAGTTAGTTGTTTTAATAAAATCTTCGTCAAATAAATATTTGTTTTTACATCTCAACTTTGTTTAAGTGTTTGAAAAACGAAGTTGATTGTTTTGAGTTTGAGGTTTGTTGAACTGATTGAAATTGCTTCAAAACATTGAACGTGAGCGGTTACAACTGCTATTAATTTTTTAAATCATACTCAAAATTTAGTTACAAAAAAGTGAGCAGACAAGTATGTGAACTTTTGAGATTTTAGCAAAACAGTTTTATTCATTTTGGTTCCTCATACCAAAATATCTCTCAAATCAAGTCGTCAATGAGCCGAAAGGAACTTTACAATTGGTTTGGTTTCTTTTTCAGCCAGTTTTGAGTATGATTGCCTCAATAAAAGCTTGTAGGGGATTGAGTGTGGTATAATAAAACTGGGCAGAAATACTTTGTGTTTTGAGATTAAATTAGACAAAATTTGATGACTTAGACTGAAATGGCTTACGTCCCAAATCAGTTTGGCGACAATTTCACTGTTACATTAGCTGAGTTTAGTAGTTAAGTATAAATCTCTTTTTTTTCTCACATAATTAATTCTTTCTTTTCTGAAAAAAAATTGGTATAACTTCAAAATCAAAAAAAAATTCAAGATTTTTCGGTCGGAACATTCGGTGCTACTATTTTGCAAACAATTCAAAATGAAATAAAACAAGACTGCTCGTATCAGCTGGAAGCGCTGACTGCTCCGACTGCCCTTTAAATTCCGATGAATGAGTAAGACACGCGAAAAAGAGATATTGGTTCTTTATTTTATCCCCCGTACTATTAAAGTTCAGGGTGTTTCATTTTGCAACTGGTACAAACGAATAAAACCAAATTTCCAGTTTCAAATCAGATTGAGTGTTTTAATTGGTCACTCACGCTAAAATTGATCAAAAAAAATTTAGCGAGGCTATTTAAAAAAAGATTTTAAGAATTGATTTTTTGAAGGCAATGAAACACACCGACTACAAGCATTCCATTCTTTTTCAAAAAATAAAAGCCCAAAATATGAACGATTTTGGAGTTTTTGCAATCAATGATTATTCAATGAGCGAAAATGACAATATTCAAATCAGGGGCGATTTTAAGAGGGGGGCGGGCACCCCCTAATCAGTAGCGGATTTAGAGGGGGGCGGACACCTCCCCCTCAGGGATTCGACCCCCTGCCGACCCAAAGGGTCCCCCTTTGTACTATTTTGAGATATCCATTTTTGGTGATGGAACCTAAAAACTTTCTTAAGACCCTAAAAATTTTCTAAAGGGAGCGCGCGCCAAAAAAAATTTTTGTAATTTTTGGTCTTTTTTTTTTAATTTTGCCCGCGGCGCAGAAAATTTGGCCAAAACAAGGATTTTTTAGTACTTTAAGAGAGCTCGTAAAATCAATTTGGTCGATCTAAAAAATTTTTATAGATTATAACGGATTTTCAAAGTCCAAGAATGAAGATGTTATAACTTTAACCCAATATACGATTGACTCATGATAA